TAGCAGGCCAGAAATTTGACAAACTGACTTGTTGGAAAGGTGGCATCCTATGATGGTGCCATGTTGAAAGTCACTGAGCTCTTCAGTACGGGCCATTCTACTGTCAGTGTTTGTCTATGGAGATTGCATGGCTGTGTGCTCGAATTTATACATCGTTCAGCAACAGGTGTGACTGAAATAGGCGAATCCACTAATTTGAAGGGGTGTCTATCAACGAATTGGCAGTCTGCAGCACCCAGCCTCACCTTACTAGAATCTGAAGTCAAATGTCTACTGTTTGCTGATGATCTGGTGCTTCTGTCCCCAACCAATGAGGGCCTACAGCAGCACTGTGATGCCTGTGATAGAAGGAGTCAGGCGCAGGAGAGTAATACGCATCCAAAGAGTTTATTCCATCGATAAGCATGCAACAACAAAACTCAGGCACAGGGGAAATATCTACCCTGGCAACAACAAGGTAAGGGTAGCTCAACCGAGCTACACCCAGCTCACTACAAACAATCACCCACACAGACAAGGAAGCAGAGGGAACACTTATACAATGACTAATTGGGGATAAGGACCAGGTGTGTGTGATTAATAGACAAGACAAGTGGAGTGATGATAAATGGATCGGCAGCAGCTAGTAAGCCGATGACGACGACCGCCGAAACCTGCACGAACAAGGAGGGGAGGCAGCCTCGGCGGAAGTCATGACAAGCACATAGATCTTCTGCACAGATTCTGTCAGACCTGGGCCCTGACAGTAAAAAGAATGGTGTTCCAGTTGCCAGGACCACAAATTCCATCTAGACACTGTTGCCCTAGAGCACACAGAAAACTATACCTACCTCAGCCTAAACATCAGCACCACAGGTAACATCCACAAAGCTGTGAACGATCTGAGAGACAACGCCATCAAAAGGAACATAAAATTGGACATCCCAATTAGGATCTGGCTAAAAATACTTGAATCAGTTATAGAACCCATTGCCCTTTATGGTTGTGAGGTCTGGGGTCCGCTCACCAACCAAGAATTCACAAAATGGGACAAACACCAAATTGAGACTCTGCATGCAGAACTATGCAAAAACATCCTCAGTGTACAACGTAAAACACCAAATAATGCATGCAGAACAGATTTAGGCCGATACCCGCTAATGATCAAAATCCAGAAAAGAGCCGTTAAATTCTACAACCACATAAAAGGAAGCGATTCCAAAACCTTCCATAACAAAGCCATCACCTAAAGAGAGATCAACCTAGAGAAGAGTCCCCTAAGCAAGCTGGTCCTGAGGCAATGTTTACAAACACAAACAGACCCCACATATCCCCAAGACAGCAACAGCAACACAATTAGACCCAACCAAATCATGAGAAAACGAAAAGATAATTACTTGACACATTGGAAAGAATTTACCAAAAAACTGAGCAAACTGGAATGCTATTTGGCCCTAAACAGAGAGTACACAGTGGCAGAATACCTGACCACTGTGACTGACCCAAAATTAAGGAAAGCTTTGACTATGTACAGACTCCGCTATAGGCAGACCTGGCTCTCAAGAGAAGACAGGCTATGTGCACACTGCCCACAAAATGATGTGGAAACTGAGCTGCACTTTCTAACCTACTGCCAAATGTATGACCATATTAGAGACATATTAGAGACACATATTTCCCTCAGATTACACAGACCCACAAAGAATTTGAAAACAAATCCAATTTTGATAAACTCCCATACAGTGGGGAAAAAAAGTATTTAGTCAGCCACCAATTGTGCAAGTTCTCCCACTTAAAAAGATGAGAGAGGCCTGTAATTTTCATCATAGGTACATGTCAACTATGACAGACAAAATGAGAAAGAAAAATCCAGAAAATCACATTGTAGGATTTTTTATGAATTTATTTGCAAATTATGGTGGAAAATAAGTATTTGGTCAATAACAAAAGTTTCTCAATACTTTGTTATATACCCTTTGTTGGCAATGACACAGATCAAACGTTTTCTGTAAGTCTTCACAAGGTTTTCACACACTGTTGCTGGTATTTTGGCCCATTCCTCCATGCAAATCTCCTCTAGAGCAGTAATGTTTTGGGGCTGTCGCTGGGCAACACGGACTTTCAACTCCCTCCAAAGATTTTCTATGGGGTTGAGATCTGGGGACTGGCTAGGCCACTCCAGGACCTTGAAATGCTTCTTACGAAGCCACTCCTTCATTTCCCGGGCGGTGTGTTTGGGATCATTGTCATGCTGAAAGACCCAGCCACGTTTCATCTTCAATGCCCTTGCTGATGGAAGGAGGTTTTCACTCAAAATCTCACGATACATGGCCCCATTCATTCTTTCCTTTACACGGACCAGTCGTCCTGGTCCCTTTGAAGAAAAACAGCCCCAAAGCATGATGTTTCCACCCCCATGCTTCACAGTAGGTATGGTGTTCTTTGGATGCAACTCAGCATTCTTTGTCCTCCAAACACGACGAGTTGAGTTTTTACCAAAAAGTTCTATTTTGGTTTCATCTGACCATATGACATTCTCCCAATCCTCTTCTGGATCATCCAAATGCACTCTAGCAAACTTCAGATGGCCTGGACATGTACTGGCTTAAGCAGGGGGACACGTCTGGCACTGCAGGATTTGAGTCCCTGGCGGCGTAGTGTGTTACTGATGGTAGGCTTTATTACTTTGGTCCCAGCTTTCTGCAGGTCATTCACTAGGTCCCCCCGTGTGGTTCTGGGATTTTTGCTCACCGTTCTTGTGATCATTTTGACCCCACAGGGTGAGATCTTGCATGGAGCCCCATATCGAGGGAGATTATCAGTGGTCTTGTATGTCTTCCATTTCCTAATAATTGCTCCCACAGTTGATTTCTTCAAACCAAGCTGCTTACCTATTGCAGATTCAGTCTTCCCAGCCTGGTGCAGGTCTACAATTTTGTTTCTGGTTTCCTTTGACAGCTCTTTGGTCTTGGCCATAGTGGAGTTTGGAGTGTGACTGTTTGAGGTTGTGGACAGGTGTCTTTTATACTGATAACAACTTCAAACAGGTGCCATTATCTATTTGGTGAAATACTACTGTGTGCCATCAAAGCAGCAAGATTCGTGACCTGTTGCCAAAAGAAAAGGGCAACCAATGAAGATCAAACACCATTGTAAATACAACCCCTATTTCTGTTGATATATTTTCCCTTTTGTACTTTAACTATTTGCACATTGTTATAACACTGTACATAGCTATAATATGACATTTCAAATGTCACTATTCCTTTGAAAATGTTGTTCATGTAATGCTTACGGTTCATTTTTTATTGTTTATTTCACTTTTGTTTATCTATTTCACTTGCTTTGGCAATGTAAACATAGAGGGAGAGAGATCTATAATCACTGTAGAGCATTCCATTTAGAAATAGTGTAGAACTGTTCTAGAGTCAGATTGTCTCAGCACAGTAGGGTACAGCAGGATTAGAGAGATATGCACATTTACAGTCATGGGGCCAGGCTTATGCTTCTCATCAGGGTGTTGTTGGAGGAAGTAGTGTTGGACCTTGAGAGCTTCTGGATTGGGCTGAGTGACTGGACTGTGTGAATGGTCCTGTGAATGAGAGAGAGGGCGAGAGAGTGTGGGGGGAATCAGTAATCAAATAATATCAGACTGCCTCCATATCATTGATCATCAGCCCCCTGAAAGGTGGTAGGTATTCTGTACATTTTAATTTACTGTATTTCCTGATGGCAACATTTCCCAAACTCGGTCCTGGGGACCCCAAGGTGTGCACGTTTTGTTTTTCTGCCATAGTACTACACAGCTGATTCAATTAATCAAAGCTTGATGATGAGTTCATTATTTGAATCAGCTGTGGGCAAAACCCAAAACGTGCACCCCTTGGGTCCCCAGGACCGAGTTTGGAAACGCTGTGTTATGGTAACCTCAAATATTGTGCCTATAAAAACAGTGCACAGGAAGATAATGATTCAGGACTACAGAGAGCTACTGGTCTGCAACAGAGACAAATGGAAAGTCGCTCACCCATGATTCAGCACCATGGCAAGAGCAGTGTGCAAGTTTTTATTTTCTCAAGTTTATGCTCCAATAACAACAAGGTTTAATGATGAAATAAGCATGAAATAACTATGAATTAAGCTTTAGACAAACGAAATTAACGGTTCACCCGACATCGATGAAAATTAAAGCTGCCAGTCTGCACTTTAACATCGTCATTGTATCGTTTAAAATCCAAAGTGCTTGAGTACAGAGCCAAACCAAACAAAAAATGTATCATTGTCCCAATACTTTTGGAGCTCACTGTATACTATGCTATATTATATGATTTCATTAAATCCTGTAATTGGTCTGAGCTGGTGTTGCTTATTTTATAAAGCAATGCACAGCTGTGCCTGTCACTATACCCCTTTGAGGTGCCCCCTGACCTGGGACTAGCGGCTGCTGCTGGTTGGCTGCTGGTGGGGGGCCTGTCATATTTGATTGACGTGTAGCCTACCATGTCTGTTGCATGAGCTCAACTTGTCAGGTCATGTCTAGCTAGCTAGTTAAGTTACATTCAGGCGAGAATTTGATAGAAAGCACAAATCACCTGCGCTAAAACACAAGGAGCGACAGAATAAGAAAAGTTGAATTGCTTCCTGTGTTCCACTTACAACCTACTTATCCATGTCGTCTTCCTTGCAACAAGACAACCGTGATGATGGTGATGATGTCATGATGATGGCAACCACTGTTGCTTGTTCTAGCGCTACCTCTAGCCTGACATCAATTAATGAGGCGGGTGTTGATGTAAGCATGGCCTCGCGACCGTTGCAATAAAAAACAACAACAACAAGGCGTTCTATGTGCATTGCTGCGCACACAACATCAAATTCATTCCAATGGATGCTGCATGTTCCCTGTATAGCGCAAAAGTGTTTTGGGGTACACTGCTTTTTGACTTCTAGCTTCCCAAGGATTCAAATACTTGAGGAGGAACAGGAAACATGGAAGAGCCGTTCTCACGCTGAAGAGCATATCAGACACAAGGTGGGCCTCCAGGAAACAGGCCACAGAAGCGGTTATACAGAGCCTGCCCGCGATCCTTGAAGCCCTGCGCGGAATAAAGCACCATAACCATACTGCACCAAAAACGGCCTCTGAAACCAATGGCCTGCTATAAAAAATTAGCACATTTGAGTTTAAAATTATGTTGGTGTTTTGGAACAGTTTACTAAAGAAGACGTACATGCTTTCTAACTATCTGCAAAAGGATTCGATAGATGGCGTGGATCTAATTGATCTAATTGGCATCTGTATGGCAGAGATCAGACAGCTGCGCACAGATGAGGCCTATGACAAGATGGAGAACACTGCGAAAGAGATGGCCCGACAAAACAACGCAACAACTGAGTTTGCAGAGGAGAGAGCGCGCAAGAGGAAAAGGTTTCATGACGAGAGAGCAGAGGACGAGCCAATCCAGGAAAGCAGAAGGCACTTAAAGTTTTATGGGGCAGTTTGAGAATCGATTTACCGACTTCAGAGAAATGGCACGAGTATTCTCTGTGCTCAACACAAAGCCTCCTGGTGCAGAAAATAACATGCTTGAGCTCGCACATTTATACTCAGAAGACGCAGTCCTACCATTCCTCATTGCCAACGACATGCACCGAGCATATCCAAATCTGACTATTCCCCATATAATCTACAAAACCATTCCCATCAGTGCCAGTGCCGAGCGAAATTTAAGCCGCCTGAAGCTCACCAAGAGCTACTTGCTTGCATGCATGAATGACCCCAGACTATCCAAACTCACTTTGCTTTGTACTGAGCGGGACATAGACATTGATAAAGACAAAGTGGTTGGCAGGTTTGCCAACATGAAGGAGAGGAGGATGACATTTTAAAACGGGACCTTGAGTTGTACATATAGTTCGTTCACCTGTTGGGATTATTATTTTTGTTCTATTGACTGCATGATGATGGAATTAACAAATGGACTAGACTTAATCAAACTACAACATGGCTACATCGGCTGAGCAGAGACAACCTGGTGAGTGAAACATCCTTTTTTATTGGTCTTTGGTTAAGATGAAAGCAGTCAGAATGTTATTACAGGCCCTCTTGCTTATCACATCTCGGCACCTATAGGCAGTGTGTGTGTGTGTGTGTGTGTGTGTTGTGTGACACTGCCTGCCTACCTCATGTGCTGCTTACGCTGTGACTGTTTTATAGTTGTAGACCGCCGTGTCTACTTTATCTATGAATGTTCGTAGGCCTATTTGTCTGCTAAACGAGCGCCTCACGCGATGCAATGAATGGTTTTGATGAATCACCGATTGGGTGCTGCTGTCCATGGTGCTGACTACCTGCAGTTAGCACCGCCACCCGCTCGCACCTGTAACACAGATACAGCGAAACTCAGTTGATTTAGCCATCTGTTAACAAATGTTTGTCTAATCCATGGCACTGATTTAGCACATAGCCTGGACGAATTTGGTTTGCATTAAAAATGTATAAGCAGGCATACAAAATGAAATCTTACCTCAATGTATGAAAAATGTATGCACTCACTTAACTTTAAGTCGCTCTGGATAAGAGCGTCTGCTAAATGACTAAAATGTAAAATGTAAAAATGTAATGTACTGTTCGATGAATAATATATTTCTTGCTTGAAAATACGGCGTCCATTAGAGCCTTCTCCATCAGGACGTGTTGTAGAACTCCTGTCAGGATAATCTGAAGTTCACTTTCACCTGAATTTCACTCTTCACTAGTTTCACCCTGCACCTGTTCCGCTGGTCTGTCATAAGCGAGAACAGTCTCTCCACAAAGGTGTTGGTGACAGAGATGCGAAGAAGAAATGAAGCCAGCATGGTCATGTTTGGCGCCAGTGCCTTTCAACAACATCTTCCACTTCACTCCAACAGGGTCTCTACTCACAATCACTTCCTTCTGGCGTGACAGAGTGATGCAGTATTCGTCAGAGAGTGGATCCATGTCAATTACTCTGCTGATTTTGAGGCCTCTGCTCTGTCGGACAGTTCGGAGAAGCTGAAATTCTTCTTTAGTGCCATGACTGCCAAAGGCTTGAGGTAGTTATTGTATGAGAAATCAAACCACTTCTCCAGGTCTTTATGGCTGGCCAGTTGTCATGCAGCCTCACCACTGCTGGCCATATACTTAGCCATCTCATTGGGACATGTCTTCATAAACAAATGCAAACATGTTCTTCAACGCATGGATAAAAAAAATATATATTTTGTGGAGTGTTTGAAGATTTTACTGATTGTGCTTTCAATATCAATCTTCAGCCTGTCCCCTGCCTGGCGCACGCAGTTGTGGACTACTCTAAAAAATACTGGGTTAAAAACAACCCAGCGCTGGGTAAATAGTGGACAAAACACACGTTGGGTTATTTTTGACCCAGCCAGTTGGGTCACTTAGTTGGGTTATTGAGCTATGATCTACCTGGTCAGATCAAAAGACTGGAGGCATGGCTTAGTAGGGGCGTGGCTTTCATATAGTTGTTTTTGGCCACCTGTGAGATAAAATGTAATTCCGGGTAATCTGTTCTGTTGTATTGTCAACACATGTTAAGGTTGAGCACTGACGCTTTTGTAGCTTTATGAGGCTTACACAAGTTGAGTTCCTCAAGTGCTTATGCTTATCCCAATGTTGGGATAGTTACAGCTTTGTTATTAAAATATAAAAATGAACCTTCTGACACGTACGATCACATATTTGTGATCATTGTTGAGTGGTCCCTGCAACGTACCATCACAAATATGTGATTGGAAAAGTAGCAACAGAACGTCTACATATGATGCAACGAACGTGTCTAAATAGCATAGTTGTTTAAAAAGCATCTAAACAATGTTTTGTACTGTTGGAAAATAAAGGTTTTCACAACTTTATTTCTCAATTTCACCTTTTATTGTAAAAGGTAAATGTGAACTTCATCATCCAAGCATCACACGGAACACATCCACAGCCAAACTCATTCCATAAACCAGTTTAAATAACAGGTTGCGCTGACAGAAAACAAAACAAAAATGTGCGACCTAACAGCTAGACTTGTTTACAATGTACCACATCTCTGGTGAGCACAAGGGAGAAATGTAATATTGTTTAGAAAATAGATACCTGTCAGCTAAGCTAACAGCGGCTAAATTCTTTATGATGGCAGCCATGTTTGTTTATGTTTGACAAGCGAAAACTCCCTAATCCCAAAATGCCATTCAGGCCCCTGTGTTCACTTTGTGGACAACTGGTACAGTAGCCCTACCCTTTTCCAGTACCTTCTGAGGGAGAACACAGGGGCCTGTGGCACAGTGAGCTCCAACAGGAAGGGGATGCCAATATTCAAAAAGAAAATGAGTGAGGTGGAGTTCCAAACAAACGGGGAGAAAATGGCCATGAAATGGCACGACAAACGCCATGTCCATGTTCTGTCCACTGGGCACACCTCCAAAAAGAACAGGAAAACTGGACTATGTCACCGGAGAGAGGAAAATGAAGCCAGACTGTGTCTTGGAGTAGAACAAGAAGATAGGAGCAGTTGACAAAGTGGACATGCAGAACAGTTTTGTTGAGTGTGCCAGAAAGTCCCTTAAATGGTACAAGAAGCTATTTTTTCCCACCTAATAGACATAGCTCTCCTCAACGGCCACATTGTCCACCAGCAGGTCACAGGACAGGTGATCTCGTGCCTGTAGTACAGGATAAACCTGATGCGGCCGCTCCTTGAGGACCACCACACTCCTCGTCGTCCGTCTACTCGGGGCCAGCCAGCCTCTGACAATCCTCTACACCTCAGTGGACGCCACTTCCCAAGCGATGTCCCTCAGACCACCCTGCTAGGGAAAACCTTCATGTCTTAAAGTAATGATGGACTGTCGTTTTTCTTTGCTTATTTGAGCTGTTCTTGCCATAATATGGACTCAGTCTTTTACCAAATAGGGCTATCTTCTGTATACCCCCCCCCCCCCCCCCCCCACCTTGTCACAACACAACTGATTGGCTCAAACGCATTAATAAGGAAATAAATTCCACAAATTAACTTTTAAGAAGGCACACCTGTTAATTGAAATGCATTCCAGGTGACTACCTCATGAAGCTGGTTGAGAGAATGCCAAGAGTGTGCAAACCTGTCATCAAGGCAAAGGGTGGCCAAGGGTCCATCAGTACCTCTGTCTGTCTGATGATTGTGTATACCACACATATCTGACATTAAAAAAAACAGCTTGATTCTCAATCTGTGTAAGACCTACTAATTCTAACTGTATGATGTGGTTTCCCAGGTGCTGGAGAGGTATGTGTCCGGGGTAATGTGTGGGTACGACCTTGAGGGCAGTCCCATTTGGTACGACGTCATCAGGCCCCTGGACCCCAAAGGTCTGCTGCTGTCCTGCAATAAACAGGACTTACACAGAGCTGCTCCGCAGAGAGTGCCAGAAACAGACAGAGAAGGTACACTTTGAGTTACTATCCTTTATTAGATATGTATTACAATATTACCAGAATTTTGTACATACAGTGCCTTCAGAAAGTATTCATACCCCTTGACTTATTCCACATTTTGTTGTGTTACAGCCTGAATTCAAAATGGATTAAATATTTATTTTTCTCACCCATCTACACACAATACCCCATAATGACAAAGTGAAAACATGTTTGTAGAATGTTTTTACAAATTTATTGAAAATTAAATACAGACATATCTCGTTTACATAAGTATTCACACCCCTGAGTCAATACTTTGTAGAAGCAACTTTGGCAGTGATTACAGCTGTGAGTCTTTCTGGGTAAATCTCAGTGACACTTTATGACACGGTCATAACTATGTCATTAAATGTCATAACAGATTACATAACTTGTCATAACCTGTCATAATATGATCATAACAATGTAATGACCCATATATTTACACCTGTTGTGACATATATTGTGTTATTTTATGTCTGGTAATGACACCTACATAAGTGTGTCAAAACTCACATTGTAATGACCATATTATGACAGGTGAAGTCCGTGTCATAATGTGTTATGACGCTAGGTGTCAAGTAAAATGTGACCTAAATCTCTAAATTCTTTCCAAACCTGGATTATTCTTCTCAAAATTCTTCAAGCTTTTTCAAATTGGTTGTTGATCATTACTAGACAACCATTTTCAGGTCTTGACATAACTGTAACTCAACCACTCAGGAACATTCACTATATTCTTGGTAAGCAACTCCAGTGTAGATTTTGCCTTGTGTTTTAGGTTATTGTCCTGCTGAAAGTTTCATTAATCTCGCAGTGTCTAGTGGAAAGCAGACTGAGACAGGTTTTCCTCTGGGATTTTGCCTGTGCTTAGCTCCATTCCGTATCTTTTTTATCCTGAAAAACTCCCCAGTCCTTAACGATTACAAGCATACCCATAGCATGATGCAGCCACAACTATGTTTGAAAATATGGAGAGTGGTACTCACTAATGTGTTGCATTTGATTTGCCCGAAACGTAACACTTTGTATTCAGGACAAAGAGTTAATTGCTTTGCCAAATTTTTTGCAGTATTACTTTAGTGCCTTCTTGCAAACAGGATGCATGTTTTAGAATATAATTTATTTTCACTCTGTCAATTAGGTTAGTATTGTAACTACAATGTTGTTTATCCATTTCCATGTTTCTCCTATCACAGCCATTCAACTCTGTAACTTTTTTAAAGTCACTCACTATTGGCTTCATGGTGAAATCCCTGAGTGGTTTCCTTCGTCTCCGGCAAATAAGTATCTTTGTAGTGACTGGGTGCATTGATACACCATCCAAAGTGGAATTAATAACTTCACCATGTTCAAAGGGATATTCAATGTCAGCTTTTTCTATTTTTACCAATCTACCATTAGGTGTCCTTCTTTGCGCACTGGAAAATCTCCCTGATCTTTGTGGTTGAATCTGTGTTTGATATTCACTGCTCGATTGAGGGACCTTACAGATAATTGTATGTGTGGGGTACAGAGATGAGGTAGTCATTAAAAAATCATGTTAAACACTATTATTCCACACAAAGTGAGTCCATGCAACTTATTATGTGACTTGTTAAGCAAAAGTTTACTCCTGTACTTATTTAGGCTTGCCATCACAAAGGGGTTGAATACTTATTGACTCAAGACATGTCAGCTTTTCATCTTTTATTAATTTGTAAACATTTCAAAAAACATAATTCATGACATAAATCTCAATTTAATCTATTTTAAATTCAGGCTGTAACACAACAAAATGTGGAAAAAGTCAAGGGGTATGAATACTTTCTGAAGGCACTGGATGTATTACAGTACTTTCTGAAGGCACTGTATGTATTACAGTACTTTCTGAAGGCACTGTATGTATTACAGTACTTTCTGAAGGCACTGGATGTATTACAGTACTTTCTGAAGGCACTGGATGTATTACAGTACTTTCTGAAGGCACTGGATGTATTACAGTACTTTCTGAAGGCACTGGATGTATTACAGTACTTTCTGAAGGCACTGGATGTATTACAGTACTTTCTGAAGGCACTGTATCTATTACAGTACTTTCTGAAGGCACTGTATGTATTACAGTACTTTCTGGAGGCACTGGATGTATTACAGTACTTTCTGAAGGCACTGTATGTATTACATTCTTTCTGAAGGCACTGGATGTATTACAGTACTTTCTGAAGGCACTGTATGTATTACAGTACTTTCTGAAGGCACTGCATGTATTACAGTACTTTCTGAAGGCACTGGATGTATTACAGTACTTTCTGAAGGCACTGTATGTATTACAGTACTTTCTGAAGGCACTGTATGTATTACAGTACTTTCTGAAGGCACTGTATGCATTACAGTATAACAGCATTCTATTCTTATACAA